GACAACTACAATGACCTACAAAACAGAGTTTCCTTGCCTTCTGAAGAACAGTCAATGGTGATTAAAGGGCATACAGATTATGAATGTATTGGAAAGATCCTTTTGATTATATCACAAACACATTTGCTTTATTTTACAATTTAATGACAATCTATTGACGAGGCTAGACCTCTGCAAACATACTTTCCAATGCTTCAGGAAGGACAGCCAGCGATCCTTCAGCAATAGGTATCTGTCTCTAGTTTGCAGTAGGAGGCACTGTGCCCTTTACATAAATGTCTGCTCCACCATGCATCTTTCACAGTTTGTACTCTTCTAGGGCCGCCCCTGTGCGGGATTGCCTTCTTAACTTACCAATTGAACTCAACTTCTTGTTGTAGCTTTCAATTCCCTGTCGACTACAACAAGATGACTTCAGCTTCAAGCAATTGTCACTTGATGTAAATTTGGCCTTGAACTCCCTGCATATAGCAGCATGTTCCTTACCTCAGAGTCTTGCTGATTTGGGATCCTTGTGCTGTTTCCTCCAACGACTGTCATAGTTCTCAAGTAGCATGAGGGCAAATGCCTTGTCACTCATGGTGAAGATGTTGCCGATTGTATTCTGTTTTTGGCTGGTTGCGCTGAGTTGCTGCTCCGGATGGAGTTGACAAACTAATGTCTTGGTGACGAGCACCTGTAGGCAAGAAAGCAAGATGATGTTAGAAAGCAGGATGTACAAATCATTATAGTAGGTCTAGATCACCAATTGACTTGCCATTTGCAGATGTCCTCCTTGCGGCCTCACATGCAATCAATGGTGCAAATTATGGATTTTTGGCCAACCTGCTTGCCCTAATAAAAGAAAAGCAAGGCAACAACATGTTAGACGATGATCATATTGTAATAGGATGTGGGTTATGTACAAAATTACAGACCAAGAATTGACTTGCCATTTACAGCTGCCCTCTACTTCTATGACTGGTATACTCGATGTTTGTGGACGGGGTTGTAGAAAATTGTGAAATGGTTGTGTTGGTGAAAATTGTCACTTTCCAAAACCAAACCCTTTTTATGTACAAGACTACCGAAAGGCTACGAGCAGTAGAAACATAGTATGTATTTACATAATTATCTGGGCTGGTGAAATTTTGTGTAGAATGTACAACAAAATGTACCATGAGAAATTTTGGCGCACAACTCCCAAGTGATGTGGTACCAGGAGTGAGCGTGCAAGATGACTCAAAATTGGCAGGCGCACTCCATAAACAGTCATATTTGTCAGCAGCAGCAATGGAATTCGACGTCAATGCATTGGAATCACCAGTTGTGAATCCTCCTTCTCCAGTTTTCACCCATCCCTTTCTGAAGCCAAACCATCGCACACAGTGACTGTTTTCTATCCAATGCAATAGGAATCCGTTGCTATTTTCTTCAGTCTTGAAAACAGTTTTGTGTTTGTTGTTACACAGCAAGCGCGTTGCGTCAAATTCCAGTAGTTTATTCAACGTTCATTTTGAACGTGGCAGTCCTAAGCCGGTTTGTCAACATTTGAGCCTTCATCCATCAGAAAAGTATTGGAGGGTTGCCACGCCGTCCCAGTACCAGCTTTTACGTGTCACCGGAGACCAATATGAAAACGCAAGGTGGCTGAGTTTGACTGTTGGATGTCCATCATGGTGAGTTTGATTGTTGGATATTTTTGATTGTTGGACATTGACAAACCGATCGCTCATGTCATGGTATGGTTTGCATTGCACTCTCAAGGTGAGTTCGATTGTTGTATGTTGCGATTGTCAATCACGTTGACGAAAGCGGTCGCTCAAGTCTAGACATGGTTTGAATCCACCCAACAATACACCGTTGCCATCGCTTGACTACTCCAAACCTAACAAGCCATCTCTGGGATATATGGCTGCTGCTTATGGAGGATTACCGTCCAAAAACATCATTGTCATCATAAGATGCTTGTCAAACTTGAGTATTTGATCATGTAACACTTTCCGCCTTATCTGAGAGGCTTCCCCCAAAATTTCAGAAGTCGAAACGGGAATGACCGAGGTATACCAAGATAATCCCGCTAAACCCGGTTTTATCTAAGCTCCCAGAGAGAAATGGCGTCTATCAAGGTGAGTTGGATTGTTGAGTGTTGCATTTATGATTATCATTGCACACACGTGTGTATATGTGATATGTGTTCTTCATCTAAAATTTGACTTGGTCGACTGCTATAGTAAAACCAATACCATAAGTAAATCTTCCGTTGGGACACTACGCAAGACAGTTTCGCTCAATGCAGCTGTTCCAAGTTGTACGGCACACTTATGGACCGACTATCAGAAGTGAAACTGCGAAACACTCAAAAACCCACGCTCCTGATATCCTCGTTTGCAACCAAACAACTGTCATGATCATCCCAATGTTGTCTGAACCAAACACCAGCAGAACCTGACAGAAGGTAACAATAAACCTCAATTGCCAATGGATCTGACGCTAATAAATTGTTTGAGCTGCATGAAAGAATTGTTGAGGGAGCAAAGGCAAAAGAATATAATTTCATTTTGACAATCAGGAAGTTCGAGGAGTCCCTGGTCCAAAAATTGCAAGAGAAAGGCACTATCTCTCACTATATGCACTCTGTGGGTGTTTGTTCGAACCATTCTTTGGCAAAGAAAGTGTCCATTTTGGCTTTGGCATCACTCAAGGTGAGTTTCATTGTTGAATGCTGCATTTACAAACGTTGATAAAAGCGGTTGCTCATATCTTGACATGATTGCATCCACATAACAACACACCGTCGCCATCGCAGGACTGACTCCTCCAAACCTGTCAAGACCTTTTGGAGAAGAATTGGTCAAGCAGAAGAGAAATGGCGTCCCTCAAGGTGAGTTTGATTGTCGGATGCTCTCCGATTGTCAATCATGTTTACAAAAGCGGTCGCTCATATCTTGACATGTTTGTATTCACCCAACAGTACACCATCGTCATCGCATGACTCCTTCAAACCTATCAAGACCTTTCGAGAAGAATTGGTCAAGCAGAAGAGAAATGGCGTCCCTCAAGGTGAGTTTGATTGTCGGATGCTGCAATTGTCAATCATGTTTACAAAAGCGGTCGCTCATATCTTGACATGTTTGTATTCACCCAACAGTACACCGTCGTCACCGCATGACTCCTTCAAACCTATCAAGACCTTTCAAGAAGAATTGGTCAAGCAGAAGAGAAATGGCGTCCCTCAAGGTGAGTTTGATTGTCGGATGCTGCGATTGTCAATCATGTTGTTGAAAATCATGACTGTGACAGTGGTTGTCCCCATTGCTTGACTACTGCTTTACCCAACAATACACCGTTGTCGTCGCTTGATTATCAGTACAGACTTATCAATCCATCTCTGGGGAGAATCCATCTAGCAGAAGAGAAATGGTGTCGCTTGAGGTAACGTTGATTGTGATATGCTGCGATTGTCAATCATGACCATGACAGTGTTTGCCATTGGTTGCATTACACTGTTGTTGTTGCTTGATTATTACAGACTCGTCAAGCCATCTCTGAGAACAATCCATCCAGCAGAAGTGAAATGGCGTTGCTCAACAAGGTAAGTTTGATTGTTGGATGTTTACATCGTGCATCATGTTGATGAAAGAAGTCGCTCATGTCATGATATGGTTTTGTTGCATTCAACCAACAATACACCATTGTTGTTGCTTGATTGCTGAAGACTTATCAAATCAACCGAACAGAAGAGAAATGGAGTATGTCAAGGTAAGTTTGACTGTCGGATGTTGCAATTGTGAATCATGAAGATGACGGTGGTCACCAATACGCAACTACTTCACCCAACAATACACCATTGTCGTTGCTTGATTACTACAGACTTAGTATCAAGCCATCTCTGAAGAGAATCGATCCAGAAGAAAAGAAATGGTGTCCCTCAAGGTAAGTTTGATTGTTGAAGGTTGCGATTTGCAATCATGACCGTGACAGTTGTCGCTATTGCTTGACTACTTTACCCAACAGTACATTGTCGTTGTTGCTTGATTACTACAGACTCATCAAGCCATCTCTGAGAAGACTCCATCCAGCAGAAGAGAAATGGCATCGCTCCAGGTAAGGTTGATTGTGATATGCTGTGATTGTTGACCATGTTGATGAAACAAGTCGCTCATGTCTTGATGTGGTGTGCATTCAACCAACATTACACAGTCCTCGTTGCTTAATTACTACAGACTCATCAAGTTGTCGTTGCTTGATTATTACAGACATATCAAGCCATCTCTGAGAACAATCCATCCAGCAGAAGTGAGATGGCATTGCTCAACAATGTAAGTTTGATTGTTGGATGCTTCCATTGTGCATCATGTTGATGAAACAAGTCGCCTATGCCTTGATATGGTTTGCATTCAACCAATAATACACTGGCGGCGTCACTTGATTACTACAGACTTATCAGGCCATCTCTGGGGCGAATCCATCAAATAGAAGAGAAATGGCGTCGCTCTAGGTGTGCTTAATTGTTGTATGTTGCGTTTGTCAACGAGGATGGTCACAGTGGTCTCCACAAAATCGGGTTCGTCTTGGGGATCTGGTCTGAGCTTGAAGGGGTTTGTTGGGAATTCACGTGCGCGTGTAAGAACTAATGAAGTACTGTTGGGACTAACAAAGTACTTGTGGAAAATCCAGGATGGTGTGATATACTGAGTTTCAGTACCTAGCTGCAGTAGATAGACTGCAAAAGATAGGAGGTCTCAAGATAAGAGACAAGGCTGAGGTCAAGGGTTCAAATCCCTGGAGAATAGGGGCTCAAAGGA